TAATAAATGTGAAAAAATATTCAAAATTTTATACTGGTTACAAGTTTAAATGTAAGAAAATAAAATAAATAAAAAACTAAATGCATTAATCTCATTTTAGATTTATAAAAAAATCTTTTTTTAATATACAATATTTTAAAAATAGATATAATAAAAAATTTTTCATAAAATAATTCGAATTTACAAACTGAATTTTAGAAATTAAAATGATACTGTGAAAATTTTTTAAAAATATATTATACGTTTTAAAATTGATTTTATATACTATAGTAAATATTTTATATTGTGCACTATTTTCTCTTCTGCGAATTAATTTTCGTATTTCGTGATTAACGTTAAAATATTGTATTGAATCAATAAATCAAAACAGAAAACAAAAACAAAAATCAAAAAAATTACGAACAATAAATTAACATTTGAATATGTAAAGCTATATAAAATTTTTTAAAAAATAATAGCTTTATATTCAAATTTTACATATATTTTTTAAACTGTACATAAATTATTTTTTAAATTATAAATATTTAAAACAAATTTAAATGAAAAAATATAAATATATGTAAAATTAAAAATTATGTATGTACGATAGATGACAGAAAAAAAATTAATAGATATTGAACGTGACGCAGCATTGGTAACTTTCCCAAACAAAATTTTAGGTCCAATTTTCGTCATAAATTGAAATAAGTTTTCAGTTTCTTAACAAACAATTTAGTACTATTTATTTTTATTTAAAGAAAAAATAATTTTTTTAATATAGTTCAAAATATTTTTATTGTACATATGCGTTAGATACCCATTTAGAAAGTTTTATTTCAAGAAAGTAGAATGTCAGCCAAATAGATTAACCATCTTTTATATTATTTTTCCAGTAATTGATTTCCTTAACACATGTAAATGTGTCAAATTTTTATAATAAATTTGAATTTAAGAAAAAGTATCAACGTAGAGATTTACTAAACATATGACAAAAATTTTTTTCCCTTTTAAAGAACTGGGTATCTGCTATATAGGAAATTTATAAACAGTGAAATTTCTTAGAGCGTAATTCTCTTTATTTTTAGGAACTGTGCTAAAAATTCCATGACTTTATATAAGGTTGAACATTTAATATCCTTTGATTTAATTATATTGGCAATTAATTATTAATCAATAGTATACTTTTTAAATGTTCTGTTCCATCATTATTATTTATATAGTACATCACTACCATTTAGTTGTGGAAGTGCTAACGAAATCATTTAGGAAACATTGCCAGTGTATCATAGATAAAGGCTAATAAAAAAACCTTACAATATCCTATAGCTTAAGCTTCTATACTTATTTTGTCAGTATTATAGCTAAATAATTGTAATGACAATACCACGATGTAAGCAGAAAAATGGTTGGATATTTCACTTTGCATTTTACATTATCAAAAGTTTCAAAACATTATGTGGTAAAATGAAATAAATAGATGGAACGTGTCCCGTTAAAAAAACATGTAAGTATAAAAGCTATATTATTGTAGTTTTTTTTGGTAGTATGAACATTGATTTTATTTTCGTTATACATTAGATTAAAACGATATACATAATTTGTTGGATTGTATACGATTTTGAAGCAATGATTTTTTTTTTGAAATTGTCTATTTCAAATCCATTTGAAAATTTATTTCAATTATTTTAAGATTTGTGTACTTGTATGGTATACTAGTTGTCCTTGTAAGTGTATCTGTATCTGTTCTGTAATTATATTTGATTTCATTTATAAGTTTATTTATAAAAATGTTAAAAATTTGTACAAAAAAATAAATAAAAGTCAAAAGTCAAATTTTCTAAAAGAGGAGGATGAAATTGGCTTTAAATAAGGAAAGTAATACGAAATATGTTGAATATTGCAGGCAAAATAATATATTATAATTTTTAAGTTTTTATATAATAATAACAGAAACAGAAATATATATAATAACAGAAAATAAAAAATTGTATTTAATTAATCCGTGTTTACTATTAAGAAAATTTTTATACAAAAATAAATTAGCTTCTGATATACCCAGGATAATAAATACTTCATGTGGGTAAGAAGTACTTTGTAAAGCTTCAATAAAAATCAAGTGATTTTCTTGAATTTCTGTATAGAATAATTATAATAAATTGGATAATAAATTAAGTTTATAAAACTTAAGTGAGCTGCACCTGTTCTTAGAATAGAGCACCACTGGTATCTAACTTCTGGTTGGGTTATGAAAACTTCATTACAGAAGTAATAGTATGAGCAAAAATCTGCATATGAAAGCAATGTTATTAAAAAAAATCAAATGTGCCGCAAAAATATTTCTCTTAGAAATCTAAACACAAATTGGGCTTTAAAATTAAAGGTACTTTTTAAAATACATATATTAATGGAATTATAAGAAAAAATGTATTTATTTATACATAAAGCAACGCAGATATATAGAATTATATTTCAAGTTCATTGTACAATACAACTTCACTAACACTGGAAGACAAAAAACATTTTTACTACTGGTAGTGAAACCAAATTTGTTTCTTGACATTAGAATTATCAATAGCATATAATTTCTTCATTGTTATTAAAATGAAAAGTTTGAAAGTTTTAAATTTAAAAGATTAGTTTATTAAACTAATCTTTTTCTTAAACTAAATGTAGTTAAAGTTAACTCACTTATTTAAGAATTCTTGCTTAATTTTACATATAACCATTTTACATCTATATGCAAGCGTTATAAACTTAAGGACACATAAATATTTTAGATATAAAATAAATAAGACGTGTTTTATTATATTGTACTTCATCTACTCCAGTAAAGCACATTTCCAACAACTTACTCAGCTAAACTAACTTTCATTAATAAGTATACTCAGGTTTTTTTTATATAAATAAATACTGCAGATGTTTCTTAATGTTTTTTGAAAAGAATAAATTATCCACCAACAGATAATAATTGTCAAAATAGCTAGGCAAATAATTCAAAAATAATATAAATTCAACTATGAAGACAGATCTTTCAATTCTATATATATATATATATACATACATATATTCGTTCATTATCATTTCTTTCTAACATAAAAAATGATAAAATTATCAGTGCAGGTGACTAATTAAAAGTCAAGAATGTTAAGTCCCAAATTTTGGCAACTCCACTTGTGAAAGATTTATATAAAGTATATCTGATATTATGAGATTCAAATTTACCTCACAAGAGAAACATTGAACCTTAATTTCACACATTTGAATATTTCATATATTTAGCACCAAATAAATTCGAACAAATAGTGTGTAATTTATACCATATCAGTTAAAAAGAGATCATCTCAAAGTATTAAATAAGCCTTTAAAGGTTCTTAGGTTTTTTTCAAAATTTTGTAGGATTGTAATCAGAAAAACAATGTATTTTTCAGGTCCTTATTGTCTTTAAAGTCCGGTTGAAATTAATGTATAATTAAAAAAAGGTGGTCAAGGTTAATCTAGATATTATTATACCACAAGTTTATCATCTTCAGTACCACAAGTTTTTTTGCAAGCTAGTAAGAGATGAATAAATAAAAAATTTGTAAAAATATTATGAAAATATTTTAAAAATTAAAAGAATCACCATTACTTTTAAACCCAATTATGTGAAATAACCATTTAGATTATCCTTTAATGATTTACTTTAATCATTTAGGTTAGTAAATGATTTATGCTGTTAACCGTTTTAAAGATATGAATCCTTTTGTATTTGTGTACAATAGTGTGTCTTTTACACCCTTTGTATATAGGTAAGTATTCAAAATTGATACATTTTGTATATTTCTCACTTCTCAGACCAAGGGAATTATCCCCGGAGTTGGTACAAAATTCCCTGTATCGACAATTCAATATTTCTGTTTTTATGATTGAGTTTGTTGAACTCAAAACTGTTCCTTTTTTATACTACATTATTATTTAGAAAATTTCAATCAAACTTAAATAAATATTCTTCAGGTATTTAAGGACTTTAACGCATTTTCAGCATTTGTGTTGAGTTGTTGGAGCAATAAGTATAATAAAAACAAAGTTTACAAAAAATTATTAATTCAACAATTAATTATTAATAACAATTTTTAAATATTCACTCATTTGTAGCTGTGTGCACACTAATACACTTATGCATACGGATCAAAAAATGTCTATGCATATTTGCCAATTTCGGATATACATATATGCATAGAAAACCAATAAGAGAGTATATTTTTTTGACCATAATCTGTATAATTATCATTTCACTGCTACTAAACAGCACCAATAAGTTTAAATTCATACAACAACTAATATTCTCGGCATAATTTTTTACAAAAAAAAAAACCATACGATTTATATGAAACAACTTTATCTTCATATAACTAAAATTAGTATAAATTTTTCAAAAACATATTTAAAAAATTAAGAGATGTTTGAAATTTAAACTGCATTAATAATTTAAACAGATAAAATAATGACAGATATTACTTTTCCCCAATCTAAAGCCTTTTTCTTTAATTGAAATCCAAAATAAAAATAAAACAAAATTTAAAACATAAAAGTAAGAAATTAAAAATAAAAACAATAAATAATTTTTTTTTTGCAATTTGATCATTTTTATTTAAAAATAAAATTTTTATCTTACGAGTAAATAACGTATTTTTGAACACAGTATTAAATTATTAATTTATACAATTAAAAAAAATGTATTTCAATTTTATATAATTTTATTTTCAGTAAACAAAATATTAAATTTAATTTATTTTCTAAAAAATTATATTTTAATAAGAAAAAAATAATAATTATATTAATAGCAATCTTTTTTTATAGAAATTATATTGCCATTAAATTTGTTTGATGTTGTTCTTCCAATCAACAATGTTTACCAATTTTTTTATTGTAATGTGTAAATGGATTAGTGTTGTTGACACGTATGTAAATTAAATGGTTCGTACAGTACAGATTGTATAAGTCCCTTTAAAGGTCCGTCACTTTAACTAACAGTTTGTATATGTTGTACGTTGTAGATGTGTCTGTTTGTTGTTACAGTTGCTTGCGTCACTTTATATTTTTATCATTTTAAAAAGTTTTGTCTATCAAAGCACTTAGAAAGTTTCTATTGTTGTTGTTCTATTTTGTTGTTGGTTTAGGTGATAGCAGTAGTGGTAACCACCACTATTACCACTAATACCAGTTGTTTATTGTGGATTGTTGTGGTAGTGTTGAAATAGCTGTTGCTAATTTCAAAGTCACACACTTACTGTTCTTGTGGATCTGTGTCACTCTCTTCCAATTCACTCTTGTTACGTCTCTTCTCATAGATGAGAATAATAGTGCAGAGAATTAGTACCTCAGCGACGATACCTAGGAAAGGCCACACGGCGGCAAGTTTGCCTATACATGCGAGATAAAGGATATATAAATGAAATGCATCAATTATTTTAATTAACAGAATAAATAATTAATATTTAATTTTAAACAGTTTGAACATTTAATAATCACACAACGGGCTAAGTTATCAGATCATTAAAACAAAATTATTGTTTTATGTAAATTAACTGAACACATTGAGTAATTGATTATTATTAATATAAACATTTTAAATAAATATTCATAAAATTCCTTTTTACAATATATAGAATATTTTCTTACTAATAATGTGAATAAGATTGTTTATATAATCATATATAAACATATATGCCTCATATATGATTCTGTTATTTTATTTTATTGTATTATATCAAAATTACAAAAGAATAAAATTCGTTTATTAATTATTTTTAGAATTCTTTACTTAGGGACTGTAGACAAAAATTAGAATTAATGTAGAGAAGATTTATCTTTATCAGTTTATTGGTATATGTAAATTATTTCGTACCATTGAAGATATAAATTATTATCACAGAGGATGGTAACAAATTATAACTCTTAGAATAGATAACGTTCAGGAATTGAAACCTGATTTTGTGATATAATAAATGATTTAAAATTAGAACTTGTGGTTTAAAGGTTCATTAGTACGGTGTAGTTTTCATGAGCAAAGACTAGTGTAGACTTTTTTCATTACATTTCATTGAAGTTTTTATTTATTTAGTAAGGTTAAGTGATTGCACTGGCAACATATGCCCTCAGCTATTGAACTGCTGCTTAGTAGATTTATTCATGGCTCTTTGCAAAATCAATGGCTTCTTCTTTATAGAATCAATGTAAGCTCCAAGTTAAAAAGTCTACTTATTTGCAATTTACGTAATGCACTGGTTTACACATAACAATAAGTTTGATGAATAGTATGTTAACTTTATTCATTTTTAAAATATTGATGGCTTATGAAATTAAAAAGTTCAATTTCAAATCAGTATCCATGTTTTAACGTTATGTGATGAGTTTGGTTGAAAAATTAAAATTATTATTATTTAATACGGTTAAGTAAGGTTTAAAGGTTTAAAGGCAATATACCCATAGGTATTTGATCTATGTCAAAATAAATCTATTGTCACACTTTTTTTCAAATTAAAACTAAACATGAACAGAAATGAATTCTTATTCTTATGTGATACAAGTCTATTTCATTTACTTAATGCACATTTTATAGTCTAGCACTTACCTTTTACACGAACATATGAAGCATCACTGGCTTCTTTATAATTAGCATACAGGGTAGCATCATTATGTCCAATGCACTTGTACTCGCCTCTATCATCTAAACTTACATTTTCAATTGTCAAAAGGGCATTTTGCACTTTATTATCATCTGGTTTAAGAATGTACCTATCCTTGCTACTTGTAATAATGGTTTCGTTACCTAAACACATTTAATAAAAATAAGTTTATATTCATTAATAATATATATCATATACCCTACATCATAAATACTTACCAATATCCCATGATAATTTCGGATTGCTACCAACGACGGTACAAGCAATTGTTAATTTTTCACCTTCAACAACACCAGTATTTGAAGGCACTCTTACAACCACGAGCGCTGCATAAATAATAAATTTTAATAGAGATTAGTAAGAAGTACATTAAATTAATATCATATACTTACCGACAACGTTAATATCTTTTCTTTGATTATTGGCTACACAACTATACACACCATCGTCGTATGTGTCTGTTTTGTCAATAATAAATGTCTTTTCCTGCTTAATAATTCTATAGCGCCCAGTAAGTTCTTTAACTTTTGATACATCTGTACCATTTTTTTCCCTAAATTACAAGAATTATAAAAACGTGTAAATACTTAAAAACATCATAAATAATTTAAAAAGCTATTGTTAAAAATGATTATCTTATTTTTTATGAAACTATAAGATAGATTAATTATAAAAAACAGAAACAAATTTTCTGATTGTTTATTTTTGCCCATTGGTTCCTATTTTATTGGTTATAATAATCAATATATAATAAATTTAGACAAAATCGTACAATCGGTTTTAAACATATTTGTCCTGATGAGTTAAACACTGATGAAAGTACATTAAAGATTTAATCTTAATCTATCTATATACAGTATGTCAAGAATGAGTTTACAAAATTCACTTTTTTAACTTATAGTCGCAAAAACACTGCTTTTTATTTAAATATAAAGATTTTTAAGAATCAATTTTAAGTAATTATTATAATGAGAATATAAATATAAAAAAAAATTCAGTAGTTTGTTGTAAAATAAACGAAATCTACAACAAAAACAAATCATACATCATTTTTAGACTGTCAAGTAACTGTTTACATACACAACTTGTGTTTTTCAATTATTTTTCATTTTTTTTTTCATTAAACGATGTGCGGTAAATTTACCGTAATTGGCGCGTTGCGTTGATTCTTGTCTGAGATGTTGATACTAAATTAGTTATTGTTTTCTAATTTTTTCACGTCATTAATTAAAATAAATATCAACGTTTTAAAATGTAAGATGAAATGTTATTATTTGAACTGGAACAGTTCAGGTATTATAGCCGTCACTTGGGAAAAAAGTGTGCCGAAGCTTTTAGAAATATTTTATTAATATGTAGGACTATTTATAATATTTTAAATCTAGCTGAATACGAGAGTAGATAAGAGCCAAAGTATAAAATTATCGTTAAGACTAATTTTCACAGCATATGTAGAATAGGTTATCATAATGAAAATATAAAAAATTTGGAAAATTTTGATTAGGGTCTATACTATGAAACTCAGGAAAGAATATATTGTTGTTGTTTCTTATATAACAGAGCGTAGGGTCATACCGCAGAACAAACTTATTGCGTTTTGCCCAAAATATTGTAAAGTTCACTACTATGTTCTGTTCACAGCTTGCTAAATATTGAGACGATGTTATAATCTTCCATGAGTCATAAATTCTGCTGTTCACAATGACTAACCTACCAGAATTTAATTTAAGGTAATTACATTGTTATTAAACGCAATATCGCGATTCCTGTTAAATTTTAAAAATTATATATTGCAATTTAAGACTTCATTTCAAGCAGAAGGGTTGCTTTTTATTTAACAGTTGACAACGGTGCTAATTCTTAGTATAAACAATCTAAGTCTTAATTAAACTCTTAAATCTTAATTAAAAATTCAAATAATCAATAAATGAAGTTTCATAATGTAGTTGATAAGATATTTCTGTAACTGCTAATTAACTGGAATTATTTTTATTATAAACTTTACAAGATTATCTACCGAAAAAAAATGATCAAAAATAATCAGAAAAGAACGAGAATTTAAAAAAAAAAACGCGAAATTTTAATTTTTAATAATTTTCTTTATTATCGCCTTCAAAGTACTCTCCTCCTGCAACAATACATGCATGCCAACGCTTAATGCAATTTTCCATACAAGTTTTATAGGCCCCCGAAGGTATGGCCTTTAGTTCACGCAACAAATTCTCTTTTATGGCCTTTATGGTCTCAAAACGTGGCTATGGTCCTCGCAATGGCAATTTCAGTCGGGGGCGGGGGAAGAGGAAAAAGTCACACGGGGCCATATCTGAAGAGTACGGTGCTTGGTTGATGATATTGGTGGAGTTTTTGGCCAACAACTGCGACACAACCAACGCTCTGTGAGCCGGTGCGTTATCGTGGTGTAAAATTCATGAATTTTCCTTCCATAAATCTGGCCTCTTTTTGCGAATGGCCTCACGCAAATGACGCATAATACTCCTTATACTCAGCTTCTTTGTCACCAGCCGAGAAGCGACGTGTTTCAAACCCAAAACATCAGTTTAAATGTCGATCCATATGAGATGCCCAAAAAGACTGCAATCTCTCTAATCGGGTCACAACGATTTTCCAACATGATCTGCTTCGCCGATTCAATGTTTTCTTCAGTAACAGATTTTGTTGGGCGGCTAGGGATCTCATCATGGTCCAAGCTTGTACGACCGTCTTTGAATCTTTTAAACTATTCGTATACTCGTGGTTGCGACACACACAAATCACCAAAGGCGTTTTGTAACATTTTCAACGTTTCGGCACACTTGAATCAATTTGCAACACAAAATTTGATGCACGCACGTTGTTCTAATTTTTGATCCATTATAAAAATCGCCAACGAAAATTTTTCGACTTTTTTGTATAGACGCCAAACAAAAACTAATCGTACGATATGCGTTAAACTTTGACAGAATAGTGTTGCCAGCGTAAAAGCAAAAAAAAAAATATCGATTGGATAATCTCGTTCTTTTTTGATCACAAGTTTAAGATTCATTACATTAAATATGTTTAAAACCTACAGCTATATTATTAGAACAGAAAAAAAACTTAATATAATTCATTACTAAATATATATATATATGTATATATATATACTTACCATGTAACTTCATCAATACCATCTTTAGTTACATTACAGCTAAGCACTAATGACGATCTGATTTCGAAAACTTTTAACTGCTGTTCTGCATTATCATAGTTTGGCACCAAAAAATCTGGCTCTGTAATGAGTTTCAATACAAAAATTAGAACAAATCTAACATTATTCGATTAGAGAGAACTAATATACATTTCTAAAATGCAACATATAGAGAGAGCTTAGGTATACAATACGCATAGATAGTAAAAAGCGCAGTAGCATTAAAAAACATTTCGTCTCTCTTACACTAATAGTATTTGGCTAAGGATAAGTGATACGTATATGATAAAAATGCTATGCTGAAATTTTGTAAAAATTCATAATAAATAGTTGAAAATATAGTAAAAATAATTTACGGTAAAATAAATAAATAAAGACTAATTAAAGTAAAATAGATATTATAAACAAATATAAAAGAAAAATAAATAATTATTGTGCTAGGAGACGACATAATTACATAGCTACTACTTCTTTTGTATACAATCCGACTTGAAATATTAAATATTTCTTTTAATTATTTTTAAATAATAAATACATTTAATATGCGACATATATTAAAGATATTAGCAAATTCACAATACAATAATTAGAAACTTAATAAAAAATAAAAAATAATAATAATTATAAATGAAAGTAATTTTTAATATATTTATATGCACAATATGCCTGACGGACCATTGATACAAACAACTTTGCACTAAATTTGATGAATTTTCCATTTCAATTTACTTATACAAAAGTTCAATAATTAAACACATCAACATTTATATTTTTTTTGCACACTTAATAAAAATTTAAATAATTTATTTATAATTTCAATTAAACACAATAAACGCAATTAATTACTTTTTAATTATGATAATTTTTCGGATATACAAACATGAGACGAATAATGATTGCAAATAAGTTACTGTTGTGTTGAAAATAAAATATATTGTATTTATATACATATACATGTACATATCCATATATATACATATATGGATATATATATATACTTATATATTAATATATTTTTATAAATTTATGTAAATTTATATAAATAAGTAGTTAATTTTCACTTTTAAATAATTTAAGTATTTTAAACAATTTTAATGGTAACCATAACAATAAGAAAATATAAATATGGATAAATAGCACTAAATTAAATAAAAAATTAGTTAAGAAAATAAAGAAAATCATGGACTGAAATCCATTCCTTTAGAAAGAGTTAAAGCAGAAAGTACTTATTTATAGAAAGATAAGAGAAATACTTGTGAGTGAGTTTTGATATATATTTCTGTATATATGAAACACCTATGTCTCTATAGATATAATTATAATTATTAACGTATGTGACCAACAGCAAAGTTGAAGTACAGGACTCAAAGGTTGTCCAAGAGAATACGGTGAATTATTTATGTCGGGTATTAAACGGAAGTACGAAGATAGCAACCGTAGTGCAGAGAGGCATCAAACAATTTAAGTGAGAACACTAAATAAAGTTCACCCAGATCTATTATGTCACAAGATCTCCTCATCATCATCTTAGCCTATGTAAGAACTATTGGTAGAACACATCTAATATGAAAAATATTTCTTAACTTATACTTAACTTATAACTTATACAGATGCAAAGATTATTTATAAACTTTGGAATTACTTGTAGACAGAAAGCTTGGTAGAACTATTAGCAAATTTGAAAACTTAAGTATAATTTCTTTGGCAATCAATAATATATTATATATAATAGGGGTATTCACTCTGTCTTGCAAAGTCATTGCAAGGTGCACGAAATGCAAGGATGCTATACTAAATATGCAAGAGTGTAAGAACACCTCTGTTGCAAAATTGCAACATCTACGTGAGAAGCAACAGATTTCAAAACTGCTTTTTTATTTCCTTTTTTGTTTTGTTGCAACCATATATACATGGGTTTAGGTATAGCAAGATTGCAAGCAATTGCAAAAAATTTTGCAAAAAAAATTTTGCGTATATTTTGTTGTTGTCCATTGGCACTTCGCGGAATCTGTGCACCTTGCAATGATTTGGAAAAATAGAGTGAATACCTCTAATAGGTAATCGCATCAATAACAGGGCATAAATATTTAAGAAAATTTAATGATACAATAGCACAAAATAATAGCAACGGTATACCTTAACTTAATATAACAATAAAACTCTTCTTCTTTCTTGTATAAGTACCTATTGGAATATAAAGCTGTAACATATTAAAATTAATAACAGTTTAAGTTCAAAAAATATTAAAATTTATTTTTTTCGTTTATAGCTTTCAAATTAAATTGTGTTCTGAAATATAGATTATGTGACAGTATTTTTTTTTGGTTTTAGTTGTATTACTAAGGAATGAAAAACGATTTTTGGGTTTTTTGTTTTTGCAAAATTAGTTTGTGCGATTTGTTTTTTTTTAAATTTTGCAAAATAATTTGAATAAATAAAACTTTTCAAAAAATTCTTGTCTGCATCACACAAGTTTTATGAATTATATAATTCTTTCATTTTTTTAGGAGTTTTTCTATGTACTATTAGGATGTGTTGGGTAAATGTTTATTTATAAGTTTCTAAATGTTAAACCCTTTCGATGGATGTTATCTTATCTGTATGTTATAATTAAAATCATCAAATCATAAATTTTTTGTTGATAGATTTTGAGCAATAAGAGTGTGGTAGAAAGAAAGTATAATCGTTACAGCCTTAATTAGAAGAAGTTAATGGGCTCTAAGCCATCTTTATCAAATTTATATATAAATATACATATTAATTTGTTGTTCGATTTTGCATAATTTGAAGATTAAATTTTTCAGCGATCGCGAATCTTTTTACAAGCGCGTAGTTATATAATACCTAAATCTTTAAAAAGCATATAAAATAGTCGTTCCATATTTTAAAAGACATAAGGTGTCAGAGAAATATTCACAGTATGTACCAAAGGTTCGCTATTGCTGGACCAACTATTGAAAGAATAGCTTATAATGCCGAAGTTTTAATGTAATTATATTGTATATAAAAACCTTAAATTCTTATACTGAAAATAAAATATTAACATTTTTCGTTTTTATAGTAAATAATTCTTAATAATATATAATATATTTCACATATTATATATAATGTTATATAATGTTTAATCTATTAAACATTACTATACTTAATAATATGTAACAGTTCTTCTAAAAATTTATTTCAGTACTTGACATAAGCATTGAAGGACAGGTAATATCAGCAGATGTAAGACTTAATATATTATTAAGACAAACTTTCAATCAAACTAGTATAGCTATGAATGAAACTACATCTATATATACATTGAAACATACATATATCATAACATTGCAAAATAAAATAAAAATAATAGAACAATTTGTGTTAAGATTAGAATTCAGTTGAAGCTAAAAAGCACTCTAAGGCAAAAAAATTTCAAATTGTATACGTGTATATATATATTATATACTTCTAGATAAAATTACACTTTTAAGACACAATATATTAAGAAAAGGTTTTAAATAATATAGCAAACAAAAAAACAAAATTTGAAATATATAAGAGATAAATAAATATTATATTTATAATAACTTTAGAGAAGGACATTTAAATTTAAAATTAATTCAAAGATAAAGATAATTGAAAGATGAAAAAAAAGTATATAGCCTCTTAGATAATTCTATGGTATAACTGCGATTTTAGCGTTTCACAAGCAATATTATCTAAAAATATGTACTAAAACAATACAACAACAACAGCTCATACAAATTGAAAAATTACTTAATTAAAATTTTAAAAACAAAATTGTAGTTGAAAAGTAAAATACAAAATGAAAAGTAGGGAAAAACCAATTTCAAATTTAAGTCCATGGTCAATTGCGATAATATGGCTGATTTGGTTTTGATTAAGTGGTTGTGGTGGTAGTGGTAGCTTGGTGGCATGGTGACATGGTGTTGGGTGAAGTTGAAGGCTGATGATGCGTTGGTTGATGCGCTGGGTTACTTGATATATTTTTATCTATTTTTTTTTTTTTGATTTTTTGTTTGCTTTTTTTTTTCTTTTTAGCGATAAAAGCTAAAAAAAAATCTAATAATAATAAGGCTCACCATTCTTAATTGGCATATTCGGATGATGTATAGGTTGCATTGGCTGCATTGGATGCAATGGATGCATTGGTGTTGAGAATACTTGGTATGTTGGCGTCGACACTGGCGTTGAGGTAGCAGCGGTAAGAGTCACAGCTGGATAAGCCGCTGATGTCAGAAGAGTTGTTGTTGCTGTTGAGCCGTCACTTGGCACATGTTGCATTTGCTGATTATATTGTTGGAAGGGATTTATCATAGTTGTTCTCGTTTGTGTTTGTGTCTGTGTTGGATACATTATAGTTTGGTATGTGGTCTGCATAGGCGTCGGCTGCAGATGTTGGAATGTTGATGGTATTGTTTGCAATGGAAATTGTGGAATTTGAGTTTTTTGTTGATGCTGTTGTTGTAGTTGATGATGTTGTTGCTTTTGTTGTTGCTGCTGATGATGATGATGCAATTCGTAATCTTGTACGGTGACAGCTGTATTGGCAGTGATCGGATAATGATGATGACGCTGTTGTTTGTCTGTTGTTTGATAATGTGGCGTATAATATTGTTGAACAGCTGGTGCTAGTGTTGTTCCAGCTAAATATGGTGTTCGTGGTGGTGGTATGTATGGTGGTGAAGGTTGCGTTGATGGGCGTGTTGACATGCTTGTTCCACCGCCGCCACTATACATATTATTCGTGTTTGAATACTGCCAAGGTACTGTCGTAAGTTCGTTGTTGTTGTAATTGTTATTTTTGTTATTATTGTTTATATCGTTGCTTTTTTTCAACGTTGGCGACATATATTCAAAATTAATAATACCAATATTTTCTTGGCTATCACGTGACGATGATACTGATGAAGCTTTGTTTGATGAAATTAATGAACCCCGTGGATTACCATCAAAATTCGTGGCATTTATATAAATAAACTTGTGCCGTTCGTGTTCCTTCATTATATCTTTAGGATGATGATGATGATGGTGATGCTGTCGATGCTGCATTGTAGAAACTGTTGATGTTGCTGGTGTTGTTGGTACTGATTTTATAATTGGTACAGGTATATTTTGTGTTGGCAGTGATATGGCTGGTGCCGCAGGTAATGATTCGGCCAAAGTATGTGTAAATATTTCATCAGCTGAGCTTGGCGTTAGATCGTGTATGGTAACGTAACCGGATTCTGTTGATAATTGATTTTCATTGTCACTGCGCACATGCAGCAAGTGATAACTGCTATGTAAATTATTGCATTGGTATTTGCCTTCGTGCACTTTTAGCGCATGACGCACTGAGATATGCGCTTCAATTTTATGTTTCTCACCTTTGGGTGATAATGAAGAATAAAAATATTCAGAGAAAAAAGTTCATATTATTTCAAAAGTCAAAGTCCAATCGTCTTACGTACACTTACGTCACAAATTACAGCAAATTAGAGATTTTCACTCAAACTGTTTGAATGAATTTTATAAAACGAACGTTAGAATTTTTTGTTGATATTGCTCAAAATAACAAATTTTTATTTCTTAGTTAAATATATAAGTTAATCGACACGTACATTATTTCATGTATTAGGAAGAATTTCTAAGTAGTGGTGATTATTAAATAAATTGTATGCAGATAGAGTTCAATCAAGCTTATGCTCAGGCTATAGTAACTGAACCGTACTAAATTCTAAAAAATTAGATTAATTATTTTTAGATTAATGAGGGAGGTAGAACCTAACATTAAACGTAAAGACCCAACATAAATAAAATATATATAACAATCAACCAATTTTACGAGAAAATTATGTCAATACTTGACCTTGGTCGATCTTGATAGAAGACGGATATACAAATATTTACATAAAAAGTAATAATCTTTTACAATAAAAGTATTATAATGAGGCACCAATATTTGCTATTTCTCGATTTCGATTGGAAGCATTCTTCAATTACAATTATAAGATTTGTACGAAAAGCAAAAAAATCTGACAGCAAATGCGAAAAAATTGTATTTTTTTGGTTATCTGGTATTTATCGATCTCACTGTCTTGGTGTATTATACCCACCAATTATCAATGTATATATTTATGGTTTTTATACTAGTTGAACTTTGTGTCACTAAGGATCTAGTTGCGTTTGTCACACCTATATATATCATACCTATAAATTAAATGCTATACCTATATATAATTCAGGAAACGCGAAAGCTGACAGTTTAGCCCGCTCTGGTGCCTCTCTGGAAGCGTCACTGGCGGTGGCGGTTTATATAACCCTGGAGACCATTAAAAGAAGTACCTTCCTCTACTTTCTACAAATTGCCAATAACAGATGGAAAGCACTTAGGTCATGTGCAATTTCCTGGTTAACATGGCCCACCTATAATAAAAACAAATTCTTGGAACTCATCAAAAGGGATCGCGTGAACACTGCAAGGCTTACTGCAGTTCTTACTGGTCATTAATGTGTAGGAACTCCTGCAGAGAAACTGCGTATTCCCCATAACCCGTATTCGTATTCGAAGGAGAAAGAAACAATAATACATTTTCTCTGTGAATGCCCGGCTTTAGCGTCTAGAAGATATAGCTCCTTAGGAAAATACTTCTATGATAGTTTATCAGACTGCTCAACGGTGAAGATGAAAGACCTATTAAATTACCTAAATTCAGCGGGATGGAATTAGTCTCTACTCTTCTATACTGGGGTTCTTGCGAGAAATGTGGTAACAAAACGGCGAAAATCGCTAATTGAGGTACATTTGAAGTTACCAAATGGCCTGTCACTGCAACCAACCACCCAACCATACATAATTCAAAAAACTGTACATATAATTATTTACATGTACATTGGACATATTATAAAATATTTAAAATATAAAATTTGTTTTGCGATTTGGATTAAAATATTACATTTTAATTTCCTGGCTCCTTACTGGAATTATGCAAGGACTTATTTAATTATAATTAAGTAACAATGTTAGGATAATTAAGTCATCCTCTGAGGATTTTAGGAAGTCATCCTCTAAAAAGAAACGTAATATTTAGAATTTATTAAATTTATAATTGTTTCTTCCCATATGAAAAAACAAATTTTACTGGACTATTAATTTATTATATAGATTCTAGATGAAGAAACTATTAGTTAAGTAACAAATAAACCAAACTAATAACTCTGTCTTCGGTATTAGTATAACTAAATATTAAGTATATTTGATTAAAAACGATAATTCCATTAAAAATGTCTAATACACGCACACATACTTAATATATATAAATAATCAAATAAGACGTTTTTACTAAAATAACATTTTAAAGTAATAGAAATTATAAAAAGTACAAAGTTTAATTATAATCTCTTTGTTATAGCTTGAAGGTCTCCATTATAAATACTTTTGTAGCTTCATTTATCAATATCTTTATTATAATTGTGAAGTATCAGTTATCAAAACCATTGAATATTGAATGCAATTATGGTTATTTGAACATATGTATTATAATAATGTGATAAACAAAATATAATTTAATTAGGTTTAAATATTGTTTGATTGTTTGCAAGTATTTGAAAAATTTTAAGATTTTATTTGGTGAAAATAATAAATATTGGCTTGCAGTGTTTTTTTTTGTTTTTTTTCTTAAAATTAATTGAAAAACAAAAAATTATTTGATTTCAATGATGATTTATTAAATTTCCAATTCGTAAATAAATTTTTTCACAATTGAAATGATTAAATAACACAAATAATCATAGATAAGACGATTGTTTGTAATTTAACTTAGAAACTAGTTATTACTAATTTTTATTAGATAATTGTTATTTCATAACTGCAATTAAGCAGATCCTATCGATATCGATAACGACAAAAGTCTCTATGTAATCAAATATATAGCAAAGTCTGAATTTAAAGTTAAAGAAAATTAATTGTGTATATATTAATAATCTATAGTATATAGAATACTCATGTGTTGGAATTCTTTAATTTTTAGGAAATATAATCAAGGAAATATTATATTTTAGGAAATATATAATTTAATCAGTAATAAATGGACAAAACTACCAGCAGTCAAAATTTACATGTTAAATTCATGTAAGCATCACAAAAATTAATTAATAATACAGAATTTTTCGTTTAAAGGTACTTTAACTTCTTAAGGCGATTTCAAGATCCGAACAACGAAAAAATCGCATGAGCGTAAAGTTCATAATTTTTCAATTATTTCAATAAATATGTAGTCATATAAATCGCTATATCTTAAAAATGATGTCACTAAATAGCTTATTGTTCATTAAATAATTTTTCATTTGAAATCTAACTGATTTTTCTGAAAAAAGTCAACAATTATAAAGAAAACATCATTATTCTTAAAATCTCTGCTAAATAATTAATTTTTATTTTGATAATACAATTTTGCTAAAGAGTTTTCCCTTTATTATGCACCATTTTTCTGTAATTGTTCTCAGAAACGTTATACTTATTCTATTTTTTTTTCTAAAAATAACAATTTTACTTAGCAATATTTATTATACGTACACCCTTTCTTGACATATGGTACAAATTTGCCATCTGTCAATTAGTTTGTTTACAGCTGCTGTTAATGTGAGACTACCTCAAGTGCATGTAGCGATTTTTACTATAGAAACTTCTTGTTGTACGCGATTTTTCGACCAAACATGGCACCACTGTCATCGCTCAGGCACCATATTCGCCAGATCTGGATCCGTGCGACTTTTTCCTGTTCCCGAAACTCAAATTGCCCCTTCGTGGTAAGCGTTTTGAGTCGATTGAATCGGTAAAAGAGAATTCGCTGAAGCAACTAAAAGCCATACCTTCACGGGCCTACGAAAAGTGTATGGAAGATTGGGTTAAGCGTTGGCATATGTGATCGCTTCAGAAGGAGTACATTTTGAAGAAGATAAAATAAATTTGGAATAAAATTTAATTTTTTGTGTTTTATTTACAAAATCCTAGTACTTTTTGAGCAGAAGGTATATAAAACTTTTAAAAAGTAAATCTTAATTTTATAATAACATAGTACCATACCAATATATAGTCATGAACGCTATCTGTAATTATTTGAAATGTCAAAGAAATATAATCCCTTAATGTTAAATTTCAAAATTTTAGTTAACCCTAATTTGTAATGCGTTAAACATCTATATACAAGTTGTCCGTGATTTTGCAATTTAAAAATATGCATATATGTATATTATACGTAAAGGTATAGTTTGACGATATAAGATAATTTACTTAAATTTATTAAAATTAATACTTTTTTAGCAGAATTTTAATTAATATGTTAAAATAAAACTGTTAACGTAATCATAATGGGCATATAGGCTCGAAGTGAGTTGGTCAACCAGACAGACAGCTATAATCTAATAATTAGTTTTATTTTATTATTGAGAAAAAAAGAGCAGTTCACTGTCAATTTTTATTAAATTCCTCAAAAATCATTTTATTAAAGAAAGTAAAGTATATAAATGAGAAATCAATGTTTCTTAGCTAACCGGAAAAAACACGAGAATAAAAAAATCTATACATAAAAAATTTCTATTATATGGCCCGTACCATCTTAGACGAACAATGAACATATTAGGCTAATTGGCTCTTCTTTTAGAAATACAAGAATTCCCTATTTTTTCCCTTACTCACAGTCAATGCATCAGTTTGTCAGTTTCGTTCGTCTTTCAGTTCTTTATTGTCCATACTCACCCTCGATAGCACTCTCTGATAACATATATGAATGCTCATCTCGACCATGTCGTAAATTATGGTGTATAATAGTTTTTCCATCTTTCAGCCAATTTATGGGATCGGTTATTGGTATAATACACGTTATCGAAAATGGTTCGGTAATGTTAACATTTGAATCACCATAGTAAATGGCTGTTTCAAATTCGAATTCCGTTGAATCTTCATCGTCGTTTACTATTGTAGGAATTGGTATATCGCCGTCGTCGTCATCGTCACAACATAGTCATTGTTGTTGTTGTTGTGGATCATTTTAATTATTATTATTGTGAATCATTGGACGGTACAAACCAAAGTATCCATATAGTATATATTTTATAATCATTTTGTATATTTTTACAAAATCCACAAAATATGATTGCATGTTGAATTTATATAATTTTTATATTTTTATTTAACTTTTTGTTAAAGCAAATAATTCGCTTAAAGCTTCTAGTGTTTTTGAGTTTTCTTTATATAAAATAACTACAAATGATATATTTAAAATTGTAACAAAAATAAAAATATATTTAAGTTTAAATTGAAAATATAGAAAAATTAATTTTAAACAAAAAAAAGTTGAATAATTAATTAAACTATAAGTGATACGATAAACAGACATATATAGAAAAATTATTTATTGTAATAGTATGTAAATTTGTATACATTTTTTTTTGCACTAATTCTTTTCGTCTAATGTTATGAAAAATTATTTAATATATTTAGCATTTTTTATAAATATATGAGTTACATAAATATACTTTATTCAATTTTCTTATTAATACGAATTGAAACGATTTGATTTCAGCTCCAAGTTGAATGTATCAATGTTTATAATAATGAATACGATACATATATAAAAAAGACCATAACTCGTACAATACGTACAATAAGACAAACAAAGAAATAAAAGTAATGTAAACAAAAGTCTTAATTAAACAAATTTATTAAAATTACTTAAACAACTTTATAGAATTTATATATAAAAAACAATATAATATAAAATTATTGATAGAAAGAAATAAAATCAAATTTTAATGATGTTATGAAATTGAAATAATATAAATAAATTTTATATCTAGATAGTTCGCTTATAACTATCTAGATTGATAAATATTTTTGTACAAGAAGTTTATTGAAATATGATACATATTTGTAATTCATACTATTCTATTTATTCTATATTAATACATTATTATTAATAAAAACTATCTTCTAGAAGAACAAAAAAAATGTTGGAAGTGATTCCAAGAAAAAAAAATAATAGAAAACGGGAGAAAGAAAGACACAATAAGTATAGAAATACAATATATACAAAAAATAGAAAAGGACTGAAGAATATAGTAAAAACCGAGATAAGATGAAAGAAAGAAATATTTAGAGAGAAAACAAGAAACACAAGTTTCTGGAAAACAAATATTTTTTAGAAATGAATAAAAACACAAGTAAATAGAAGATGAGAACGGGGAATGAAAAGTTTAGAGAAGAAAGGAATTATTCAGACATTCAAAGAGAAAGAAAAGAGAAAGATAGAAAATAAAGAAGAGGCAAATATATATACACTGAAAGAATAAAAATGAAATGAATATATTATATACACGACACGTTTTAAAGTAAGAAGGAACTTTAAATAGAGAATTTATTTCTAATTACATGCGTTGATAAGATTGACATTTCACTGATGCATCGTTAAGATTTCATAATATTTGAACGAAAACAAGCATTTTAAAAAAATTGTAAACAGAGTTAGAGGAAAATAGAGACAAAGGGAGATAGAGAATGGGTAAAAAAAAGCAAAATCAATATAAAGAGATTAAAATAGATTATCAGAGCGATACTTGCATATAAAGAAAGAAAACGAGAGAAATGCATACAATGTACACACGTACGAATTCGAATGAGTGAATATCTAAGGACTAGCTTTATATATATGTTCATTCATTATCAATACATCATGACTGTTAAATAAAATAAAAAATTGTTTTCAATTTATTAAAATTATCTGAAAGCCCACATCCGTAGTAATTGTCTGACTAAGGGTTTGCCGAGAATTTAAAGATATGTGACCTGACTGCATTCATATCAAATATTTTGATGCATTACTTTATATAAAGAATATAAATGTTAAGAATGAGAGAGTTAAAATGTGACAAATTTGGAAAATATATATATAGAAAATTAAGAACAAATTTAACAGCGATTTTAATTAAAGACAAATATATATTTTAAATATAGAAACATATTTTTTTTATTTATTTATTATTTGGCACGAATATATCTTGTATAATATATTATAAGTTAAATTATGGAGTAGATTTTTAAAATTAATGAAAAAAAAAAATAAATAAAAAAAATAAATAAAAAAAAATAAATAAAAAAAAATAATAAGAAATAAAATAAAATATTAAAAAAAAAAAAAATATAAAAAAAAAATATAAAAAAAAATATAAAAAAAAATAAATATAAAAAAAAAAATTAAAATAAAAAATTTTAAAGAATATAAGCATGCATAAAAAAAAATAATATGCATGTAAATTGCCAACTAACTAATAACATTTATAGATAAAAAAAACTATTAAATATGAGGAAATTATTCTATACTTATAAAGAGAAAAATAATAAATTTAATATCACAATAATTATGGTTGATGTAAATCTCTTTATATATAATTTATTTGTTATTAATATTTACTTAAGCTTGCATTACAATTATGAAATAAGGAGTTTATATATAATGAACTTGTGTATAAAAGTGTGTGTAGCTGATATGACTTATGGCCACAAAGTTAATAAACTCTTAATCAGCAAGTTGACATATTTCACATCAGTATTAGCAAATACAAATAAAATTTCATGCCTATATATGGACACATGTAAGTATATATATTATAATCGTTTTTACAGTATCACATGTACAATATGTACTGATTAACTGCCAGCATTTAAAGTAATATACGAAAATGTACTCATATATTATAGTGCCGAACATAATTATTGGCACATCAAGCAAATTGAACTTTAGCCCCATACAAACATTCCTCCTCCACCACAGACATAGCAAGATTTTCTTTTTGCAGTTCGGTGTTTAGTTTTCTCCAAACCATTTGGCGGCCATTAGATCGAAAGATTTTAAATTTTCTTTCATCCGAGAAAAGAATATTGTTCCAAATTCAATTGGCTTCCTTAAGTACGTCTTAAGCTAGATACTTCTGTTGTTGGCTTTCGAAATTATAACTTTCGTCTAGTGACACGACAGTTGTAACTAGCTTCTTGCATCGTCCTCCTAACCGTTATGGGATGAAATTTCTTGCCAAACTCTCACTAAACCTCAGATGCAATTTGAACTGAAAATATTTTTGGGTTGACCTTCACCTTTCTTATTATTATGTTTCGTTCACGGTCGCTCATGGCGATATCGCCCCCTTGAAGGTATAGCGGCTGCTATCCATCATTTCTCCAATCTCCGTATAAGATTTGCCTTGGTTGTGTAAATAATGAATTGGATAGACGACTAAAGAAGCGCGCTATAATAACAAAAGCAGCACTGAAGATGACACTGCTGAAGAGTGGCAAAATCTTGGGCCAAAATCCACACAAAAATTGATGAAAGCAAATAGTAGCTGTTATTAAATAGAAGATCTTGGCCACTAAATATTAATTGTTATCGAAAATAATTTTTTTTAAATTTGTTTTTTAATTTTTGCATTAGGTGTGCTAATTATTTTGTTCAGCCAAATTTAGTTTTTTTTTTTTTTTTTATTTTAAAAAATTAAATATAAGAGAAAATAAAATGAAATAAAATGAATTTAAAAGCAAATTAAGCATTTTATATAAAAAAATTTTTGTTGATAAAAATCGCATCATTACCAGGATAAAAATAGTGCTAAAGTTCAATTTGCTTGCAGTGCCAATAACTATGTTCAGGACTGTATATATTTTTGTACTTATTATTCGTAATGCAATCAGTTATCAGTAATTAGTACAAATTAACTACAAACAAATTAAAATTTATACAACACTCAGACAAGAGTTGAAATTTTATTTTTGAAATGCATTCACTCATTAAAATTTGTATGATAAGTAAAATAACCGTTTCAATAATAAGATTATATACCAAATCAAATTTTTAATATTTTAACAATTATACATATACGTATACGTATGTATACAATTTTCAAATATATTGGATATTTAGATTCATACACCGATTTAAATTAACAAAAACCATATCATACAATTTTAGTTTGCTAAGTATTCAGCAGTAATGATAACACCTATGATAAAGATAATAATAACAAAATTATTGGTAACGAATAGCTGAAGCAAACTGATAAATAACCAAAGGAATAAGTACCAGTTTGAAAGACGCAACTAAATATTCATACCACCATATCATACACCATGTATAATATGATTATTTGCATTCATGTTATGTTATATATATGCATATATAAATATATACTAAAACATAATTAAGAGCATATGCTAGAGTAAATATACATATGTATACAGTATAACTGTACTATTATTAAATCCATAAGTCATATCTAACAATTTAAATATATATTTACAATATAAATCAGTGAATGTTTAGCCTTTTCAGTTTTAAGCTAAGTCAAAAATATTTGTATTTATTTTATTGATAAGAAAACAATTAATAAAGTATGAATTATTGAGTAGTAATTGACATACGAGTTTCCATAAACATGCATATACATATATTCTCATATGAATACATATCTAATATGACGCCCTAATGCTATACATATATACATTTAAGTTGATATTCTAGCAGTGCCAATCTCGATGACAAGTGGAATTTCTTAAGATAACTTTGTATTGTGTAATTTAATAGTTGACATAAAACTGCCACTACATTTTATTTATAGTCACAATTTCACAAAGCAAATAAAGTAAAACTTATCAGTGAATTAACTGAAGTGTAACAAGTATCTACATATATTAGCCATAAAATATTTGCATTTAAGTTATAAATATGTGAGAATGTTCCGCTCCGAACCTACTTAATATTTGTTATTTGCTTAAAAATTAGTTGAAATCAGTTGTTAAGCACATATCAACAAGATATTTTTAAATTAAATAACAACACTCCAAATAATAAGTACGTGTACATACATCATATGATATGTATATATATATATATATATATAAAATCAACAAAAACAAGAAATCAAGGTAACTACTAAATGTATAACGTCTATTGATTTGATAAACTTGATC